AGAGCTCGGCCCCGCTGGCGGGCGCAGGAGAAGAGCAAAGCTCCTCCCAGGAGGTGGCCAACATGGCGGAGGGGCCAGCGTGTGGGGGTTGGGGGGCAGACCCGGGCTCATGTCTCGCGTTCTGCATCCCGGCAGCGGGCGGCCAGAAGTGCACGGTCTCCATCAACGTCCTCCTGGCCCAGACGGTCTTCCTGTTCCTGATCGCGCAGAAGGTGCCCGAGACCTCCGACGCCATGCCGCTCATTGGCAGGTAAGGGCTGCTCCCCGAGGCCTGCCAGCCCACATCCGGCAGGGTCCGGGGTGGGCTCCCAAACCCGCTCGGCTCTCCTCCTCCCCTGCATCCCAGCTGATACGATTCGCCTCAGTCTCAGTGGGGTCCTTTGAGGCCCGGCTCTGAGGGACAACATGGGAATGGGCAGGGCCAGAGAATGAGAGCCGTCGCGGGTGGGGCTTGGGGGCACTGGTAGCTCAGCACAGAGGGAAGAGGCTGCCTCCGAGGCCTGTGCAGGCGTGGTTGTGCCGCTCCCAGTTTCCCTGTCCTGCACTGCCAGGATGAGGGCATGCCTGAACAGAATGCCTAGCAGCCCACAGGATACACCTTGCTGCACAGCCCACAGTTAATCTGCGGAACTCACTGCTGCATGATGATGATGCCGAGGCAAATAGCCGGGTGAGACTTGAGAGTGTGCTCCAGGGGGTGGGGTGGAGCTCTAAGCACCATCCTTCATGCTTGGAATGGCAGCTGCGAGTTCGGAGGGAGATTCCCCACCCCATAGGTGCGTTATCGGAGTTGGCTGCTGCAGGAGATGGGATAGCGGATTAGCTGCCCATGGGGGAGTTCTGGTCCGGGCTCCCTTAGTCTCCTGCATGCAGATGGGCTGCAGTGTCACTGCTGGGCAGCGAGAGATCCGGGCAGCTCCCATTCCCTGGTGCTCGGCTTTGTCTGGTGTCTGCTGCCTGGACACAGCCCCAAGGACCGGCAGATGCCGTGCTTGGCTGTGGCTGGTGAGGCAGGGTCGGGGGAAGCAGGCCTGGTGACCCGCCTCCGCGGCTCCTTCTCCCCGCCAGGTACCTGACCTTCCTCCTGGTGGTGACGGTGCTGATCGTGGCCAACGCGGTCATCGTGCTGAACGTGTCGCTGAGGACACCCAACACGCACAGCATGTCACAGAGAGTGCGGCAGGTAGGATGGAGGGGCTGGTGGGCTCCCCTCCCCCCCATGCTGGTAGCGACCTGCCTAACGCTCGCGGCATCAGCCTCCCCCTGCTCCTCCCTGAGCCAGCAAGGCATCTGGGGCACCGCTGAGAGGTGAACTGCTTAGAACCAGGGCTACTTGCAGCCGAAGACTGGGGGTCCCCCTCTATAAGGCACCGAGCCAGCCATAGAGCACTGCAGCTGCCACTCGGCCCAGCGAGAATCTCACAAGCAAAGACACCCCCCCGTTAACCTGTGCCACAGCCAGCACTGCTCCTTGCACAGGCGAGAGGTTATAAAACCCATCTCACCAGCTCTGCACAGGTTCTCCCCATCCCAAAGGACCAGCCACAGTCCCCGGTCAACCCACACCTTGGATCGTACCCAAAAGAGCCCGCTGGCCCTACGGATGTTACATTTGGATTAATTAAGTAATCGAATAGTCAATGAGATTTCCATGGACTATTCAATTAGTCTATAAGGGCACCTCCGCCTTTGAACTGTAGCATGGGGCTTCCTTTTGAAATGTACAAGAGCCCTATTCGCCGCTGGGACTCTTGTACATTTCGAAAGCAGAATCGCAGCAAGAGCGGCGTGAGTGAGGACTGCTTCAGTCCCTGCTCGCCTGTTTCCCGCTGTGCCTCCACCTCCCCTGCCTCTGCGGAGACAGTGCTGGGGGGAACTGGCTTGTAAACCGGTTCCCCCCAGCACTGGCTCCCGCTCTCCCCACCTTTGCTGCCACATCACTAGTTGACTATCCAATAAGCTTCTGCTTATCCGATAGTTGACTAGTCTCTTACATCCCTAGCTGGGCCAGACCCTTAGACTCTAACATCTAAAGGGTTAGTAATAAAAGAGAGAAAAGGCTGAGAGCAAGATGTTAAAGAGAATATGTTAAATAGATCGATCACCCAGGCTCTTAGCAGAGATGGAACAGCCTGCCAGCTTACACGTCTCTGGAGTACATCCCATGTTAGGATGGGCCACAGATCCTTCCAGGCCCTCTGTCCTTGGCCAAGGTGCGTCTGGAGCAGAGGGCAGGAGGAGACCAGATGGAGGCACCTCAGGATACTTTTATCACCTTGCCCAGGAGGAGGGAAACCCAGTGTTCTCCTGGGCGCTGGTGCCTCCCAAAATAGGGCAGATCCATGACCACCAAGCCAGCCTATGTCCTTCCTAGGCCAGGAGCCATGGAGTAGCCAGGTGGGTCTGTCTCGGGCAAGGGGCCATTGTGCGCTCCTCAGGGGTCAACTGGCGACCCTGCAGAGCCACTGTCCATGCAGCACTGAGCGACCGCCCCTCCCGGCAGGGGGTCGACGCCCACTGCTGCCTCCGTGTAAAATACAAACACAGAGCCCGTATTCGTCACTTTACACACACAGATCGTACACGGACATGAGCCGCCTAGGCGGAGCCAGCATCGCGAACGCCTTCACTTCCCACCTCCCGGGGCCCCCGTGCACCCCATCTGGGGCAAACCCACACCAGTGGGTGCAATAACCATGTTCCTACTCGTATGTTCCTACTCGTATTAAAAATCCAATAATGTGACACCCCACATGCTCCCTCCCGCACCAGTCACTGCCCTCAGGAAAAGACAGGGGAAGGACTGAGGGCAAGGACTGAGGGCAGAGGCAAGTACATGGAGCTTTTGAGCCATTGTGGGGGATCCTGAGCCCCAGAGACTCAAACAGACTGCCTGACCCACAGTGCTGTGGGGCACGCTCCCCCAGGAGGATGCAGGGTCTGGCCCTGGTTTCAGGTAGCAGGTTTACAACAAACCAAAGGAAGTATTTCTTCATGCAACACAGAGTCAACCTGTGGAACTCCTTGCCAGAGGATGTTGTGAAGACCAGGCCTTTAACAGGGTTCAAAAAAGTCCTAGATAAATTCAGAGGATACGTCCATCAATGGCTATTAGGCAGGATGGGTAGGGATGGGCTCCCTAGCCTCTGTTTGTCAGAAGCTGGGAATGGGTGACAGGGGAGGGATCACTTGATGATTCCCTGTTCTGTTCACTCCCTCTGGGACACGTGGCACGGGACACTGTGGGCAGGCAGGATACTGGGCTGGATGGACTTTTGGTCTGACCCAGGGTGGCCGTTCTTACGTTCTGTTTCACTACCGTGCAGCACCAGCGTTGCGGGCTCGCTACCTGATCCGACCGCGTCTCCACACCGCTTTGCGCAGGCCCACAGGAGGGCCTGGGGGGCAGGGCTGCAGGGATAGAGCCAGGCCTCAACCTGCCAAGGGACTGCTGGGCATTAGCCCCCCTCAGGCAGGCCCCCCTCGGCTGAGGTATGGGAGACGGAGCCAGGCTGCTCCACTCCCACTGGTGCCAGGAGTCACGGCCGGGTGCCGATGGAGCAGCCCCGGGGCCAGGCTGCGGCTCGGTGAGCCCCGTCCCAGCAGACAGGGCTCCCCTGGCCTGAGCGTGATGGTGCCGGCTGCCCCGGTCCCCTGCGTGTGACGGCGCCGGCTCCTCGCTCTGTCCCCAGATCTGCCTGCGGCAGCTGCCCCACTTCCTGGGGATGCACATGCGCCGCAGCGACGTGGCCGCCCGCCCACTGAGGGCTCGGCGCCGCAGCTCGCTGGGGCTCATGGTGAAGGCCGACGAGTACATGCTGTGGAAGGCCCGGACGGAGCTGATCTTTGAGAAGCAGAAGGAGAGGGACGGGCTGATGAAGGCCGTCCTGGAAAAGATCGGTGAGTGACAGCTCGGGGGGGCAGGGGCGGCCAGGGCCTGGGGCCCTTAGCATAGATGTCTCCACCCCACAGACTGTGGCTCCCCTTGGCCTTTAACCAGCAGCAAACTCACCCCCAACAGCACCCCCTCGGGGCTGGAATGGGGTTGGGAGGGCGGGGCTGACAGGGGAACGGGACCAGGCTGAGGGGGTCACCACGGCCACCAAGTGTGAGGAGCTGGACTGAGGAAGAGAGGAAACCCCGTGTTCCTCACCCCTTGTAATACGGGGTTTCTGGGGGCACCGCTGAGGGGGCCAATTCTGGGCAAAAGGCTTAGGGGCAGGGCTACTCGCAGCCCACGACCCGGGGCCCTCCGCCATCAGGCACCAAGCCAGCCCCCAAGCGCACGTCCCTTCTCCACATTGGCCGGCAAGGAGCCGCCAAGCAGTCCCCTCCGACACTCCTGTTCTCTGGGCCGTGGCCAGCACTGCTCCTGGGGCCGGCGAGAGGGTGTGAAACTCCATCGCGCCAAATAAAAAGGCTCCTCCGGCCCCCAAGGACCAGTCACATCCCCAGGCCCACCTGCACCTCAGCTCTTCCCCAGCGTGCTCGCGGGGCCCGTCTGTTCGACCCTATAGGGGTTATTCAGAGAGCGTTGGGTGGTTAGAGGGCTCAGACCCCCCCAGCGGCAGACTCCTTGGGGCAGGCTGGCAGCAGAGCCGGAGGCGACGGCTGGCTTCAGTCAAGTCTCCAGTTTAGCCAGAGCCCCTCAGCCCTTTGTTCGGAGCTTCAGCGAGTCGGGAAGTTCCCCCCGAGGGGAGAGTCTGGATGGAAGACAAAATGGAGGCCTCTCCGGGGCCCTGTCTGTGTCCTGGGCCGTGAGGAGGGACTCCCACAGGTCCTGCTGGGGAAAGTCGGCCCCAGGCTGGAGTTTGGAGACACACGAGCAAGTCGCCTGCCCACGCGCGACTCGGCCCTTTGCAGGGGGATGACAAGGTCCAGGCTCTGGCCTGGGGGGCTGCAGAGAAGTCCCTCCGTGTAGTTGGTGCCTCCCACGCTGCATTGTTCGTCGGAAGCTCCTTGAGAGGCCAGTCAACCTGGCTAGCCCTTCTCCCACACCCTGGCTGGCTACTCGGGGGCTGCTCCAGGAGCTGACCTCAAACACCGACACCGCTGGGGTGCACAGCTCCAAAGCCAAACACGAGAGACGCCCAGGAGACCCGTCCCCGCACAGGCCGTCCCCTCGGGGAGAGCCATGGACTCCAGCAGCATTCAGGCTTCTCTGGGGGAGGGCTGGCTGGTGCTTTGCAAAAGGCCAGGGGCCTGAGACGCCCGAGGGAGTGGGGGCTTTCTGGTGCCGCGCTGGTCCGGTGCTATCCCGGCTCCTCCTCTTCATCTCCAGGGAGAGGCCTGGAAAACGGGCGCAGCCAAGATCTCTGCCACAGCTTGGTGCAGGCAGGTCCTGAGAGCAAGGCCTGCGTGGACGCCTGTAACCACATCGCCAGGACCCTGCAGGAGCAGAACGACTTTGACAACGTGAGTCTGCCCCAGCAGAACAGGAGCCAGCAGGGGGCCCATGGGAATGGGGCCAGAAGGGCTCCACGTGTA